ACAACTGGCTAACAGCCAATTTTTACCTTAAGCTTAAGTCTGCTCAAGAAGGGAAAGGCATTTTTGCCGAGAGAAGCCTCTTCTGACAGCATGGGGTTTGTCTTTAAGAGGAATACAACAAAAAAGACATTATAAGGTGAAAGCACTTCTTTTGATTTCCCCCTCTCAAAATATGGGGGAGGGGAGGAGTGTCATGAGACAAAAATAAAATCCAGTAGTTTAAATTACTGCTTTCTTTGTTTTATCCCAACAACCCCTGAGGGGTTTACCAGGTGTTGCATAAGTTTTCTCTTCCAAATGGTGTATTTCAAACATTTTAAAGAGCTTTTTGGCAAAATCTAAGAAAATAAACCTAGCTTAGTCATGTAAATTATCCTTCAGATAGTATGAAAAAGTCATTTGAAGTAACTTTACCTAGCTTAATTGGCTAATTACGTATAAAATAAGGCAATGTTAGGCACCTTATAATTTTATAGATAAAAGATTATTTCTGTATTTTTTTCCTGAAATAATTGGACAGTATCTACAGGATTGAATGTGCCCCAAAGATGTGTTGTATGGGTACATTTTGGTAGTAAATGATGTGCCTACTTCTTCTTAAATTTAAAATGACACGTCTCTTTGCCTGTTGAATTTGAAGTAGGTATCTATCATCTCGAAATGGACTTGAGATGGGGAGGAGTCAGAAATATAATTTTCATTACTGATCACTTCTCTCCTTTTCTGCTTCATGGGTCCCCAGTTCCTTGCAAATTGATCAGCTCTGGGTTTGTGGGGATGGATGTAGGGGGTGAGTAGACAGAGCTTCAAGCATGGGATAGTCTTCCAAGGCCAGCACAGCAGGGGAGGGAGGGAGGCAGGTGAAGGCAATGAGCATGGTGGCAAGAGGTAGGCAGGGAGCTGGAAAAGTGCAGAGGACTTCCCAGCAGCTGGTATTTGTGGCATCTTAGAGAAGATGGACTGTTACTTCATAAAATTCACAGAAGCCCAGGGTTTTCTCCTTATTAGTGCCTTCCCAAGCTTGGTGAAATTGGTGTGTTACTCAAAGCACCTGCGACTCTTTGGCAAACTAGATGTTCTATTATTCTTAAATAAGGAAATCATTATAGCTGAAATCACATCATTTAAAAGTCTGGCTTGCCTGACCTTGTACTTGAGTGGAATTTTTACTGCACACATGAAGAGGCCTTGGCAAAAGAATAGATCCTTTAAAAAACATTTAGGGGAAGGTACTGTACATGAGGATCTTGGAGGCTAATGATGACATTTTTTTGTGTGCCTTCAGATTTTCAAATGGCAAAAGAGTATGTGCAATAAAACCTCATTAAGTTCATAGTGTTTTATTAAAAATAGCACTAAATTTGAAGCACTTGTGATATTCAAGCTAACTAGCAGCCTTATTGTTCATTAAAAAGAATATGTCATCAAAACTGAATGCTCTTAATTCAAAGGTCCTCTTTTCCAATTTCCTGTTTTCCAAAGGTCTTCACCTTTGAAAAATCCAATTTGCCAAAAGCTTGGCCAATAATTAAAATAGGGAAGAGAGAAGCTTTAAAAGAAAATCAGTGAGTTTCAGTGTCTTGGAGAATGTTGTGTATGCTGTTGAATGGACTTACCACATTTGTATAATATCGTTAATAACACATGCAAGTTAATTTTTGCTGAAGATAATTCAATAATTGCTGTAGCAGTACATCAACAAGGGAGGGAAGTGCCAGAAATCCAAGCTGGATTCAGAAGAGCATGTGGAATGAGGGATATCACTGCCGATGTCAGATGCATCTTTGCTGAAAGCGAGAATACCAGAAAGATGTTTACCTGTGTGTTTTTGACTACCAAAGGCATTCAATTGTGTGGATCATACAAATGATGGATAACATAGCCCAGAATGAGAATTCCAAAACAGTTCATTGTGCTCATGCAGAACCTGTAAACAGATCAAGAGGCAGTTGAATGAACAGAATGAGGAGATACTGAGTGGTTTAAAATCAGGAAAGGTGTGTGTCGGGTTGTAGCCTTTCACCACACTTATTCAATATTTATGCTGAGCAAATAATCTGAGAACCTGGACTATACGAAGAAGAACACGGCATCAAGACAGGAGAAAAACTCATCAACAACCTACAATGTGTATATGACATAAGTTTGCTGAAAGCAAAACGGACTTGAACACTTACTGATGAAGATGGATTGCACCTCAGCATAAAGAAAACAAAAATCCTCACAAGGGAAACAGTAAGCAACATCATGATAAACAGAGAAAAGACTGAAATCATCTTACTTGGACCCACAACTGATACTCATGGAAATAGCAGTCAAGAAATCTAATGATATATTGCATTGAGCAAATCTTTGAAAGTGTTAAAAATCAAAGATGTCACATTGAGGACTAAGGTGCACCTGACATAAGCCACGATATTTTCAATCACTTAATATGCATGCAAAAGCTGGACAATGAATAAGGAAGATCATGGGAGCATGATGCGTTTGAATTATGGTGTTGATGAAGAATATTAAATATACCATGGACTACCAGAAAAACAAACAACTCCGTCTGAAAACAAGTACAGTCAGAATGTTTCTTAGAAAGGATGACGGTGAGACTTCATTTCATTTAATTGAGACATGTTATTAGGAGAAGGAAATCATGCTTGGTCATCTCCTCAAGGAGATGGATTGACGTAGTGGCTGCAACAATGGGCTCAAACAACAACAGTTGTGAGGATGGTACAGGACTGGGCAGTGTATAAGTCCAAATGGACTCAACAGCACCTAACAACAATAACAAAAACACTTGTACAGGTTTTGGTTTCATTTGAATTTGGGACTTTGGCAACCAATTTTCTCTGATGTGAAGTTTAGTTTCAACAAAATATTTGGAAACACTTATGTTTGAAATTCTGTTTCCTACTGAGATCAGCATTTCTACTCAAAGGACAGTCTCCAGCTACCTTGAACTCTTTTGACCAGGGCAGGCCTTTGAAGGCAATACCCCTTATACGAGGAGTAGTCACATAGGCCATTCCTTTACCCGGATACCCTGTAAGGATAGGTCAATAGAAGAGTTAGACAAAACATTGGTATAATAAAGTCATGACTACTGATTCACTTTATACATTTAGGTTGAAAAATAAATGACAGTGCAAGGGTAAATGCCAGCCCCCACACCCTGTTTGAATTACCACAAGTTTCAAGTTTATGAAGTTACAATTAATAGGATTTAACCATCTAGCTCATTATCATTTTGGTATATCCTCTCTCCTGTTCCAAATTTTGAACATGGCAATCCTAAATTCCCATACCCCAATATACAGCTATTTACTTCTCCCCCTTGAGAAGCCAGTGTAGGAATCTAATCTAAATGAGCTGGGAAGCAGTCAATAAATAACTTTGTATAAATGAAAACTGAGGTCTAATAAAGCTATGGTAACCAAACACGAATGAGACTGAACTCTGATTATGACCATCTTTATATACAACCATTTGATTAACCCAAACTCCCTCTTCTCCCTTAACCCATATTAACAAGTTAATTTGGTATCCAGTAGGCTAAAAACAAAGGCTTGATCAGATTTTGATTCAGTTCTATTTGGCCATGGAGATATGGCCTGTGCCCTCAGAAATAACACATCCATCCCTACTCAAGGTGATTTCAGGATTTGGCATTAGGAAAATCCCCATGACGTTGGGAATCATTTAGATATTGTCAAGATTTTTCCAAAGTCATATTGTTTCAACAGCAATAATTAAGATGTATCTGACCAGAAAGCTTTGATTGCAATAGGTCAGCTATTTGCCAGATATTGCCTCTGTCGTTTCTAATTCTCTATATACTTCAACATCTGCAGAGCTTAGAGGTTTTGAGAGGGTCCCAGATAGAAAAGACACATGGGGATCCTGGAGGAAGGAAAATGCTCAGCCTGCCTTATTTGCTCCCCATGCGAAGGTCATATTTTTTGTTTATGATCTCACAGACACAGGCACATTACTCTTGGTGGACAGTGTGAGTTTTGTAGGGTTTTGGGCACCTCCAATTCAATTTCTTTATTCTAGAAATACGGTTTGGTCAAAAAGACCTGTTTAATAGAGGAAAAAAGGAAATGTTTCGAGTCTTTGTGTATCCTGATTCAATTGCAAAGAATAGTGGCATGATTTCTGTGCCACTGTTGCCCAAACAGGAGACAGAAAATAATTAACGTCAATTGTAAAATTTCTATTGCATGACATGACCATGCAAAACCCCCAGGATTTTTTAAGGAAAAAAAGTCAATAGCTTGGACCCATAGATGTATGTTATTTCTCTCTTTTCCCCTAGCCTAGCTTCCTATTTCATACATGCACAATTGTCTTTGTCCACTTTTCTGGATCCCGTTGGGGGACCAAGAAATCTTCTTGGTAGTGTAAAACTGCACAATGGCCTCTATTTTAGTTTCCATAATAGGCTTTGTACCAGATTGTGGGTCTCTTCAGTTCTGAATTTGGCTCAGACATTAATCAGTAAGTCCGGTTCTGCTTCTTGGGTTCCATGAATGATTTAGTCCATTGCTTTGATTTCAGTTGAACATAAGTTGTTGAACATAAGCCCATGGGCTCCTGATCCAATGGCCCAAGAGTCCTTCAGTTCTCAAGCATCACTTTCCCTTTTCTTAGAGCTAAGGCTGACATGTTGTGGCTCTGGGGTAACAAATAGAATACCAAGTTCAGGTCCGAAATGGATAGCCCTTGTTCCTTTAAAAAATTTGGAGCCTAATAATTTTTGTGGGGGAAATTCAGTCAGAATCCTCAAATCTGTGCCTTGAGTTGAATGCTTTTAAGAAAAAATCCAGTTCCTACATCTTCAATATATTTATCTACCTTGTGGTGAGAAGGATGTGTGTGCAACACCTTTGCTTAGAATGATATGGGTTGGCATCAATGGAATTGTGAGTGGCCCATTGAAAAGAAAACTCTTGTTGTCTGCATTGTGGACAGACAATTCAAGGTTTCCTTTAGAACTGACTTCAAGGTGAAGTGGCAGAATCGTGGGATGGGACCGTCTTACCACCCTCTGTGCCGGCTTCGGTTCCAGGCAGGTCTGGGTGGTTGACTTCTTTTGGGGGCTTTTCCTTGCAGAAGAGTTTCTTCAGCATAGCCTTGATTTCCTTCCTGATGGTCCTGTGCATGTAGCCATAAATGTATGGGTGGATGCAGCACTGCAGGAAGAAAAGCCAGATTATTATGGTGATCACCCACTGGGGCACCTGGGTTTGGACATCCACCCAGACGGCCAGGACTGCTACAAAGCAGTAGGGCCCCAGGGACAGCACATAGGAGAAAATGATGAGAAAGATCACTTTGGCAGCTTTGCACTGGTAGCACCTGGGTAGAGGGAGGTTGCTACGGCTATTTCGACGACTGGGTGGGAGGCTATCTGGAATATTCACAGCCTCAATGTCATCCTCATTGAAATGGATGCCTTCATCAAATTCCAGGCCATCCTCATTGAACTCCAAATCATCTTCCCCCAAGTCAATGCTGCAGTGGTTGACCTCTGTGCCGTCCTTGTCTGACTTCATGCTGCTCTCCTCAACTTCAGTGCCACCTTCCTCCTGGGCCTCCACACTGCTCTCTCTGGCCTCTTCGATGTCCTGAGCTGCCACGCTAATCTCACCCATCTCCATGCTACCTTCCTTGACATTCATGCTGCCCTCTTCATCTTCATCCTGGTCTTGAAAGTCACTCTCATGCTGGAACTCGTCCTTCTTCCTCTCTCCCTCTTCATCCTCATTCTCCATACAGTCCTTGACCCGTACCTCCAAGCTGTGGCTCTTGACGTTGTACAGCAGAGCATGCTGCCGACGGGCTATATTGAACACCACAGCATAGCAGCCAAGCATGACAATCAGTGGGATTATGATGAAGGACACTATGGTGAGGGTGGTGTAGCTGGGACTGTCCCCCCAGAGCATGGAGCAGAGGGCATTACGCTCATCAAAGGCAGCCTTGCCCCAGCCATAGAGTGGGGGTGTGCTTTGCAGAATGGCTATGATCCAGGTGCCATAAATAAGCATGTAGCCCTTGCGTGGGGTCATCTTGGATGGATAGGTGAGAGGGTGGATGATGCACAAGTAGCGATCTATTGACACCACCACGATGGTGTTGACACTGGCAAAGGCAAACAGGTGGGTGAGGGTAACCAGGGCTGTGCAGAAATGGTTGTTGAGGGGCCACAAAAAAGGCACGGAAGTGGCCACCACCCAGGGGGCCACGAGCAAAACCTGCAGCAGATCGGTGATGAGGAGGTTAAAGATGAAGCGGTTGGACACCTGCAGCAGCTGCGGCTTGCTCTGCAGCACGATGCCCAGCACCACGTTGCCAAAGAACGCTATGATGAGGAAAACGATCAGCACAGTGGAGCGGATGATGCCGTGAGCAAGGCTAATGGGCATTTTGGAGAGAGGCATGCACGAGTGGCTACTGCTACTGCTGTCGCTCGTGTTCGTGCCGTTGGTGCAGTTAGACGTCATGGTGGGGACCGGAGCAGTGCTCACGCTGGGGGCAAAAGAAACAAGTCCGGTTAGTCAACCTGCCGAGGGCCCCTCCCACCTCGTCCCGCGCGCCCGCCCTCGCCTGGGCCTCTAAGTCCCTGGTCCTCAGTCTCTCCAGACGGCGCGTGCCTGAGGGTCTTTTGCACTGTTTTTGAATTCTTGGAATTTGGGCTCTCTAGGAGTCCTGGTGTGGCGCTGTAGGATAAACACTGGACTGCTAATCTCAAGGTCGGCAGTTCAAACCCACCAGCCGCTTTTCGGCGACCCCTATACACGGTGGCTAAGAGTCTTAACCGACTCCAAGGCACTTAACACCAACGGAGTTTCCTGTTGGCGCATGCGCGCGTGCTCTGTCCCTATCTGTCTCCCAGGGTCGCTCTCAGTCCCTGTGTCTTTAGCTAGCGTGCATTCCTTGACTCTCTCCGGGTGTGTCTCGCCGTGATCTCCAATGCTCATGCCTCAGTTTCTCACCCTTTTATTGCCTGTTACTGAGCTTCTGGCTAGCGTACGCGCTGCAGATCTCTATGGCTCTACGCATTCTCCTCTTTCCGAGTTTCTTGGTACTTCCACATCTCCCCCTACTCGAGGGCAGCCTCTCTCAGCCTTTCTGTACGTCTCTTTCTCCAGCGTACTTTCTCTGTGGCTGGGCGCGCGCGCCTCTGGCTCTCTGACTTTCTCCACCCTTGTCACTGTGTTGTTGTTGTTTTTTTTTCTTGACCAGCTCTAGTCTCTCTTGAGTGTCTCTGCCTGTCTCTGTCTCTCGCTAACGCTGTGCTTTTCTGTGGTTCCCTGGCGCTGTCTCTGTCTCTCCAAATTTCCCAATTGGTTTTCCTGACCGCCCACCTGGAACAGGGACCCTGGCGCACCTGTCCCGTGAAGCGCTCGCTGGAGATGTTCCTGTCTCCGTGTCTCCCCCCTCCCCCCTCCCCGTGCTCTCTCTAGCTGTCTCCTATCTCTCGCTTACTCTTGCTCTCTTTCTGATCTGTCTTTGCCTGTCTCCCTATGCGTGTTAGTAGTCTTTCCACGGGCACCCACTCTTGGTAGCAACAGGCCTGCTTGTCACTCTCCGCTGGCCTCCGACCTCCTGGCACCTCTCCTTTGCCTGTCCCTGGGTCTTGGGGTCTCAGGCGCTCACTGCATGTGCACCCTCCACCCAGCTCATTTCCCTCCCTGGGCCCCTCTGGGAACATATTCTTTGCGTTTGAGTGCGTGTTCTCTGCTGATTCAGCTTTTGCTGATGGTCCCCTGGCCTTGGTCTCTCTGGGTTTCTGTGGACTTTCTTCAACCCTGGGAACCAGTGGCCACCAGCCTAATGGGTTCAGGCGGGAAAGCGCCCACTTCTCCGCAGCAAAACGGCGGCAACAGAAGTCAGGGAGACCAGGGCACCCCTCCAAATTCAGCCTTGAGGGACTCAGAGAAAGCAAGGGAGGAAGTAAGGGGTGGCAGGTGGGGTGACACTGAGAGAGAGGCACAGAAAGAGACACAGAGGAGGGTGAGAGGGTGAGAGGCAGAACAAGAGAGGCAGAGAGGGAATGAGAAAGATATGTAGAGAGGACAGAGAATGAGAGAATGTTCTTATTCTCTCTATAGACAGAATCAAAGAGACAATGAAGGAGAGAATGAGAGACAGAGAATAAGACTGAGAGATTTAGAGAAAGGGACAAAGAGAAAGCAAGAGAGAAGGAGAATGAGAGAGATATAGAGGAATAAAGATATGAAGAATAAGAGACAGAGGGAATGAGGGAATGAGAACAAGAAAGAGACAGAAGGGAATGAAGCGCGCGCGCGAGATACCCAGAGAGATGGAGAAAATGAGAGACAGAGACAATGAAAGAGCAATGAGAGGACAGTGAGCGAGAATGAGAGACAGGGAGAGACAGATAGAAAAGAGCATAAGAACAGAGATGATGAGTAGAGAATGACCGAAAATATGGGAAACCTGAGGGAACCGAGAGGGGGAAGCCCGCGCGGGAGAAAGTGCCGGCGCCGTTGAGGAGGGCCCCTGGTGAGGCGAGGGGCCGCGGGGCAGGCGGCATGGGGACAAGCAAGACGGGCGGGACGGCGCGAGGGACAGCGCAAGCGGGCGACGGCGAGCCCGCCTGCCGGTACCTGTTGCTGCGAGCTGATCCCTCGGGGCTGGCGCGCTCGGCCAACTGGCTGCTGCTGGGCTCCGAGCGGGACACCGGCAGCGGAGCTGCAGAGAGAGCGCTGAGCGCGGGCGGGAACGGGCAGGAGCGGATGGCGCTGTGCCCACACGACCGGCCAGTGCAGCACACTGAGAGCTCTGAGCGGCGCGGGGGCGCGCGGCGTTTTAAGGAGGCTGCGGGGCCCTCACCTTGCGACGCCTCCGCCCGCGGCCCCCGCCCGCGCGGTGACGCACGAGCCGCGACGCCCCAGCAGCCCGCATGCGGGTGGGGGCGTTGCAGCGGACCCCGCTCAGATATGATCCTAGCCCTCCAGGGTGTTTCAGGCTCCTGAGACCCAACACGATGGGACTTGTCACCGTCACTGTGTCCTAACCAGGACCTGGCCACAGACTTGCACAATCTTCCTAAAAGGGACTCTGCCCTTGAGTTCTGAAGATCCTCAAAGTCTGGATCTCTCCTGGGTCTTGGAGAGGAATTGCGATTTGGATGTCACCGATTTTTCCCAGTTTTCTCTAGCTTCCAGCCAGAGTTAAGCAGCTATTCCTTTCCTGCAGGTTATGGGAGCGGTTCACTTAAGACAAGCGGCACAATTATCCACTGTAGTGTTTGATTGAAGTCTGTCCGTCTGTAAGGCAGTTTCTCTGTCTCTATCTCTTTCTCTCTTTTTCTCCCTTGCCAGGATAAGTACTGCTATTATCTTCATTTTCTAGCGACAGAAGCAAAAGCCAAGGGAGATTACCTTACTTGCCAAGTTCAAGTAAATGCTGTACCTGCTTTATTTTAACCAAGACATTCTGATCTCTCCCAAATACACATCAGATGTTCAGTCTGTATCAGACCTGGTGAGGCACCCGACTTAAGACACCCACCCCGAAGGGGAGGATAGAGTCTAGGAAGATGTCCAAGACCAGGAGGTCATTTGTATTGTGTTTCCAAGGAGGTGCTTTCAAGGTAGAAGTGATGGGAAGCTTTCTGAGCAGAAGGGCTGCAGCAGAGAGCTGGGAAAACCAAGAGACAGCAATCCCTAGGGCAAGGGGAGAGCTGGAGACCCTGGTTACAGCAGCTCCTGAGGGTTTTGAATGCCCACCAGAGGATTTTGGACTTATTCTGAGATCCTTGGAGGGCCAATGAGAATTTACTTTAACCCTTTTTACTATGGATGTTCAAACATACCCCAAAGTAATAATAATAGTAATAATAAAAATGTATCCCATGTCCTCAGTCACCAACCTTCACAATGATCCATATATTACCATTCTTTAAAAAAAATTTTAAATTAATTTTGTTGTGGTGGCTGAAAATATGCACTGCAAAACGTACACCAATTGAACAGTTTCTACCTGTAAAACTGAGTGACATTGATTACATTCTTTGAGTTGTGCAACCGTTCTCATCATTCTTTTCTGAGCTGTCCACCCTCATTAACATAAACTCAGTGCTCACAATCTGATCTTTCAAGTTGCTGTTTTCAACTTGATCCCATATAGATAGTTCTTAAAACAGCAGAATGCTCAAGGCAGATTTTTTTTTTTTTTACTACTGAAGCTAAACTATTTTGTTTTAAGAAGACTGCAGGAGCTCTTTTTGATTTAAGGTTTAAGATGATTTCAGGGCAGTAGTTTCAGGGGTGCGTGCACTCTCCATGGCTCCAGAAAATACATTGTTGTTGTGTGCTGTCGAGTCGGTTCTGACTCAAAATGTCCCTGTATAGGGTTTCTGAGGCTGTAAAGTTTTACAAGAGCAGTAAGCCTTATCTTTCTCCTGTGGAGAGGCTGGTGAATTTGAACTGCTGACCTTTTGGTTAAAAGTCTAATGAGTAACACACTATGCCATTGTTATTGTTAGGTGCCATCAAGTCAGTACCGATTCATAGAGACCCTATGCACAACAGAACTAAACACTGCTCAGTCCTTGGCCAACCTCACAATTGTTGCCACACTTGAGCCCATTGATGCTGCCATTTTGCCAATCCATCTCAGTGGGGGGTCTTCCTCTGTTTGTCTGACCCTCCACCTTACCAAACATGATATCCTTCTCCAGCGACTGCTCCCTCCTGACAATATGTCCGAAGTATGAGAGACAAAGTTTGGCCATCTTGGCCTCCAAGGAGCACTCCGGCTACACTTCTTCCAAAAAGGATTGGTTCTTTTGGCAGTCTATGGCACTTTCAATATTCTCCTCCAACACTCACTATGCCATTGCTGTTGTTGTTGTAATGTGCCGTGGAGTCGGTTCTGACTCATAGCGACCCTGTACAGGGTTTCCGAGGCTGTGAATATTTACGGGAGCAGAAATCCTCATCTTTCTCCCGCAGAACAGCTGGTAGTTTCTAACTGCTGACCCTGAGGTTCACAGCCCGATTCGTAACCACTACGCTACCAGAACTCCTTCACTATACCATTAGCAACCATGAAAATGTGAAATTCTGGTCTATATTTCCCCTCACTTTTTTCAGGATTGTTCTGTGGAATCTTTGATCAAAATGTTCACTAATGGCAGCCAGGGACCACCAGTTCTTCTGGTCTCATGGCTATGAAGGCAAGTTGTCCATAGAGGCAAGTTTCCACACATTCCATATCTTCATTCTATTCCTGACTCTCCTTCCTTTGTTGATCCAGGTGAATAGAGCCCAACTGTTGTGACCTGGATGGCTGCTTGCAAGCCTTGAAGAACTCAAGCACTACATCAACAAGCTGGGAGGTAGAACAGAAGCACTAGACAGGATATTAGACCAGTGAACTGAGATGTCCCACCAAACCATGACCCTAAACCTCCAAACCAAGAAACCAAATCCCATGAAGTCTTTGGTTGTACATAAGATGCCTCATTAGC